AACAGAGATGTGAATTTCTCTGGTGAAAGTTTCTCCAAAGTGATCTAGGAAACAGCCTGCCTACTTCATACGATGCCTGGAGATCTTTTTCTTCTCCTTGCGTCCTTGTCTGATAGTATCTGGCACAGCATCTGTTCCAGAACCTGAACATTTAAGTAGCTACTGTGCACTCAGCAAGAAGAACGATGCTGGTTATAACTAAAATAGCAAGAGGTGGTTGGTGCAAACAGACTTACGCGTAGCTGATTGTGTATGTGTGTATCATGTTACTCTCCAGAATTTCCGAAAAATTACCAATTTAAACCTAAAACATTCCTTTGAGGTAGTTAAGCTCAGGCAAGAGAACTGCCATGAAAGCCTCACAGCACCTCAACGAGCGCGCTGACGCGGGAGTCGGCTGGCACTGCTTTCAGGATCGCTTCAAAGAGGTTGCCAAGATTTATTCTTGTCAAGTTCACCCTGGTAATGGTCGCTGAGACAATTTCTACATAGCCTCCTTTTTTGGTCTCAACTTCTGCAAGTAAATTAGAAATTGGAAACAGGGCCCAGAAGTTATAAAACACCAATCAATGAAATGGAAAAAAGTGTTACATGAATCATGAAACCATGTTTAATCATATGAAATACGCACCCCCACCTGTGCCACATAAAATAAAGGGAAAAGCCAAAAGTGATCCACGTGGTCAAGTAAGAGTGGCCATCTCCAGGGACTGTCAAAACCAAAACAATTCCAAGTATGACGACACAAACACTGGCATGGTAGGGTAAGCCTTGTTAGAGTTACAGCAGACGACTTGGTAAGGTTTATCAACCTTTGGCGAGCCAGCTACCAAGGCCCCGTGCAAGTGCACGCACACTCATTAGCTGCATTTTACGGCCGGCCTGCTGTGTGCCTGGACTTTGCAGGATGTGGGGACACGGCAGGGAACAACCACGTACACTTTCCTGCACACCGGGGCCCAGTGAAGGACGCTGTCATAGGAACGGGTGTCTGGGTACAGGGGAGGCGGGGTGACGAGTGCATGGAACAGACAGAGCGGGGCAGGCATGCGGACTGCTGCATCAGGGCGCGGGAGGCAAGGGGACGGGGGTCATTTCATATAGGGTGCTCATGGGAGCCCTGTCCATGAGCTGCTATTGCAAATGGGAAACAAAATCCCTTTATTTCATTTCCTCAACTGAAAAGTTCAAGTGAGAGGAAGAGTCGAGTTCCAAGCAATCTATTAAAAGGGAAATCTCTTCTGAAGAGGCCAGTGAGGGCGCTGACTACGGTCTGAATTAGGCTGTGGTGACCTGCACGTCCGTCTCCGTTAGGTGGGAGTGACGGTGGCCATGGACTGACGGGCCTGGAAGGGGGGCCATACAGATGCTGGGTACCCTGACTGCGAGCAAGCCGGAGCTTCCACCGTCTACCCACGGGAAGAAAGTCTGACTCTGGAGCACTGAAGCGGATCTCGTACTCCACGCCTCAGTGGGCAGAAGGCACAGGGCACCTGGGGCAGATCTCAGAAGCGGGGGGCACCTCCCTGCATCTCTCCACCTGGGTGAGGTGCCACCACGGCCGGACAGGGCAGCTCAGCACCTGGCCGGATGCCATCACTAGACATGCTGGCTCCCTGGGAACAGGGCACGCGGAGGCTGCCCCTGGGAAAGTGCAACATGTAAAGGCTGCACCAACCAATTTCAGTTTCTGTCACAAGGATTCCTGAAAGACGAGAGGAGAACACGTCCAAGAGACAACGCCATAGTGAGCCCATAGGCTGGGCTGTGAACTGTGACCAGTTTAAGAGTTTGCCTCAACGCTGGCTAATTCCAAAATCACATTACTCTCTAAAACTGATCACAAGAGCAAAAGATCACAATGTATTACTACAGGCCATATAAATTAATCAAAATATTTTTATAAAATATAAGTCATGTTTTATAAAGGTAAGTATAAGATTTTATGTATTTTGTAAGTTACAGACACGACACAAAATGTCACAGATCATGAGCGCTAAGACGTGTCATGGTACATGCCAGCTAACACCGCCTTTCCTGCCATGTTATTACTGAGGACTTCCTGCGTGCCAGGCACTCCCTGGTGCTTTGCCTTGCAACCTGTTGTTCTAGGTGGATAATTATTTTGACTTTTAATGAGGAAGCAGGCTCAAAGAACTTGACTCACTTTCCATGGCTGTGCAGACGGCAGTGTTGGCCCGTCCTGCACTGGACACGCCTGCCCCACCACCACGCACTGGAGTCCAAGCAGAGGCCTTATCACCACTGGTCCCAACAACAAGACGCCAGAGCAGGGGCACATGCAAAGGCTCAGAGTGTCTACATGACAGGTGAGGCGCTCCAGGATGATCCCTGGAACCGGCATCAACATCACTGGAAATGAACTTACTTATAAAGAAATAACGGGGAGACAGGCTGAATAAGAGCTGCCTGGGAGGGTGTTCACGGTGAGCCACAGGCCTGCCATCTGCCTGCGCATTTTAAACCCCACGCCAAGTACATCATTCCCCATCTTAAAACTCTTCTCTTTCCATGGGTTTGTGGGTGCTGCCCATCCTCTCTGGGCATGCCAGCGCTTCTCAGACACAGTCTCCCCTTTGCCATCCACCTCCTGTTTGCTTATTAGGCTTGTCCACAACGCCGCCCCTAACTGCTTTCCTGTGTACCCCCACGGAGCACGGCGAGGACAGAATGCTGCCGAGCAGCTCCGAGATGCAAAGTGCTGCTGTTAGATCGTGGGCATGACTCGACCCCACCTTCATGGGCTGGACGGTCACACCATGAGCCTTCAAGTCAAGACCTGCGTACAGTTAATGGAATCCCACAAGGATTGTCTAGGAACCTCAGTAGCCCAGAGCAAGGGGAGGTTCAGGAAAGCCCTCCCACAGGACACCAGGAGTGCCCTGACATGTGGGGTAGTCAATGGCAAGAAAAGCATGAAAAAATAGTCAAAAGTATTCAAACAATTCTAGGCAGAAGGGACAAGGGGTGCAAAACCACTTGAAGGTGAGAGAAGAGAGACAGGGGTGCATTTGAAGAAAAGGAGTTTAAGTGAGGTTGGGTAAGGGCTGAGCCTGGCGTGCCAGGGTCGGGCTATCAGGGAGCCACCCCACCCCCACGACTCCATTCCCCAGAAAGAATTCACCACTGGGCATGAGGAGGCATTTGGCTGGCACAACCAGCTGCAGCCCCTTCAGGATCCAGCAAGGCAGGCCCCCAAGGATGCCCTCGCTTCTGGCAGCCCCCGCCTGCCCGTGACAAGCACAGTGTAAGCATGGCCTGGCCCTCTCCCCAGGCAGGAGTCCCCGGCCAGGCCCTGGGGCCTCGGGCCACCCACTGGCCTCCATCGGGTCACAGGCACCCGACTGCCCTCCGCCCCCGGTGTGAGGCTCCCTCTGGAGTCTGGCCTGGTAGAATCTGAGACTCAACTATCTGTTCTGAGATTCAGTGACCAAACGCTGCATCAGACATTGTCAACTGGAGACAATCCATGAGACTCATAATTGCATTCCCAGCTTTCAATACTTTCAAGAGAGGAGATGAGAAAACTGAAGCACAGTTGTAAAGATTTACAGTCTTTTTTCCTAAGAAACTCGAAATCAGCTATCTTGGGCGAAGCAGATAACTGTCAATGGGCTGCGTTCTGTTTTCATTAAACACATTTAATTATAGCAATTTGTTGCTGGAAATAGCGCGATGCATTTGGAACAGTTCAAGCTACAACAGAGATGAGAGATAGTCGCTCGATGACTTTGTTGAGTTTGCACAGTGAATTACTGGCCAATTATGATCGTCAACAGGGCTTTTCTACTTCTCTTTTCTTCTTCTAGAACGAATCGGTAAACATGTACTAGAAAGAATTGGTGATAAACTCTTGCTAGGACGTGTCTGTCAGGTTTCCTCTCCAACACTGGGCCTGTCCCACCACATGGGGACGGGCCTCGCGGGTGGTCCACGGGAGCCACTCGGGCTGATGCCACTCGCTGCTGGAGGGCAAGGCAGCAAGGACGTGCCTGCTCCTCTGAATGCAGGTGGTGATGGTGGGGAAGAAGTGTTTCCTTCAGTCACCCCTGGGCGGCAAGGGTAAAAGTGCAGCAGGGGACAATCAGGGAAACCAGACTGAAGCCCAAGCCCCCTGCAGACTGAGGACAGAAGAGAAGCCAGTGCGAGGCCTGGGTGAGCTGAGTGGGAAGCCTGTCCCATCTCCCTTGGTTTCTGAGGTCAGGATAACACGCCCCTTCGGTCACTGGCCCTCTCAAAGGCACCCTGATGCACACGGCGTCTAAAACCGCCGCTTTGGGCATGGATCTCAGCCTGGCCCACTGCCCCTGCCAGGGAAATCGAGGCGAGGCCTCCTCAGGCAGTATTGCAGCTTTAGTGTTGTTGATCTTCATGAAACATAAACTTAAAAAATTTTACAAATCACTTCTACAGGTATCAAGAAAATACCGTAAAGCATAATAAATCATAAGTTGGATGTTAGCTAATGAATGTGATGAAATGCTTAGGGACTAGGTGAAAACCATTATTGAACACCTTGAAGAGTCCACAGATGCACAGACTCAGCAACAGACTCTCCTGATTCAAAATTTTTAAAAATTGATAATCTGTAAAATTTTGTTGATAGAAGAGTGCGTAGCGATGATCCATATCTAGGCCACGTGTGGTTTGTCCACACAATACTCCAACCCACAGACAAAGCACACACGCACAGAGTTCTCTCTCCAAGGCCACGGTCGGCGCGAGATGAAGCAGCTACTGGCTTGAGGCCACAAGGAGCTGCCATCCGCCCCCTGGCCTCAGCGACGCGAGGCATCCTACTTGGCACACACACATTAATGTTTGGCACGTAAGTACAGGTTTATTAGTTCTAATGAAAAAACTGGACAAGAATCCGCCAGAGAAGGAAATGGCCATTTCAGATTAGCAAAAACTTTAAATAGGATCTTTCTTGTCTTTGGTAGTAAGACTCTTAGCCACCACATAGATGCATAGCTTACCTGTAGGCCTTTCTCCTCCACCTTATGTTGGAGCACCTGAAGGCACTTGGTGAAGTCAGTATGGTCCTGGTCAGGGGTTGCGATCAGCTCACATCCCTGTGTGATAAAGGGAAAGAGAGCGATGAGGTTGGCCTCTGCCATGACCAGGAGCTCTGCAGGTAAAAGGGATGTCAACAGGCATCCCGTCGCGCTTGTATCATGCCCCATCAGTGGAATCATGACCTTATCCCCCTATTTTTACATAACAGTACATCTCAGGAATGATGTTAGCATATCACAGTAATGATCTGATTACGGCAATCATCTTACCCAAGAAAAGTAGAGATTATGCTGCATTAATGGTCTTTAAAAATCACAGCTATGATGATATTCAAGATTAGCATAAAGACTTCAGTACAAGTTTTATAAAATGCATGCACAATGAAATTACCTGGAGGTAAAAATGGAACTATTTCTTAAAAAAATCTTTGATTTCCTCAAGTAGGAAAACTTAGCACTCGTATATACTTGAATGGAAAAACTAATATTAATATGGAACTAGAGGTAAAAATACATTTTAAGTAAACCAAGTTAGCTATACAATCCCTTCACAGCATCATTTCCTTCCCACATAAGAAGCAGCATGGAGAATAATGTCCACATAAATTTATCTCTTGGACTATCTTTTGGACATAATGAAGTGAATTTATAAGTTCTTTGCTCCTTCTACAATAGACACCTTACCTAGTGAAAAACACTGAAACACTGAAACAGGTTTATAAAGCCACAAAGGTGCCGGCTGGTTGGCACTAGTAAACTTAGGTGCCTAAAGAAACAATATTTTTGAAGTGACACCTTTTCCTCCAATGTCTTAAAGAGGCAAGGGATGAAAAGCCAGAACACAATGGGGCTTTCGACTTCTTAATTCAGGAATAAAACAATTCTTGGTCTTTGACAAACAGCTGAGTAAGGGAAAATTCCATACAATCTAGTATATAAAGTTGCCACTCAAAGAGTTTTCAAGGATACAAAACACCCACACTGCCTCTTAAATTATTCCAACAACCATTCTCAGTAGATTTAAAGGTTCTTCTTTAACTTCAAGGTCTCTTTAAATGTGCCAAGCTCAACCTGTGCTAACTTCATTTATGACTGTCCTACAATGTAGTGACCAAAGAAAAAATTAATTTCTCATCATTCAGAAATATATTATGTCCTAATAGATGTACATGCCATCTTTACAAGATCATCAGCATATACTTTCCTGACCCAAGATGGATACTGAGATTTACTATAATCACCGATCAAGGGCATAAAGAGGTTGACTTGTTCCAGGTTAACACTCCTAAAAAATAAAGAAGGCGTAAGAAGATATCAGAACAGGGTCTCCCTGCTTGCACAGGGGTTAAAGTCTCAGCACTAGTCCTCCCCTGGTGGCGCAGGCAGTTGAGCACAGTGCTGTGAAGCTGTCCGCAGCCTCTGCAGCACCGGTTTGATCCCAGCCAGCCGGCGAGGGTCCCAGAGGGCACGGCAGACCTCTCTTGTCACGCCCGCTGCTCCCCTCATCAGTGCATTTCGTCAGTCTGCCTGTTCTGTTCCCTGCTCTGGCTCTGGTGAATCCTCTCACCCTCCCAGGAATCTGGCCTGTACCCCGGTTCTTGTATGTATGGATAAATAAATAAATCTTTTAAAAAAAAAAAAAAGTCTCAGCACTATCAAGCTCCTGCCAGCCACTGCAGCATGACTTTGATCCCAGGCCGGCCAGGGAGCTGACCCACATGGCACAGCAGACCTCTCCTGTCCTGCCCGCTGCTCCCCTCAGCAATGTATTTCAGTAGATCCACCTGTTCTGCTCCCCACTCTGTCTCTGGTGAATCCCCACAATTCTGGCCCACACCCAAGTTCTTGTATGCATAAATAAAAATATATCTTAAAAATGTGCACTAAATGTTGCTTGTGGGCAGCAATTATGCCCCCCACAACTATTTCCAGATCAGTCCACTACAGAGAAAGTGTTTGATACATGTTTAAATAACATTCTAGAGTGGTGAAAAATGTGCGCTGGCAAAAGAGGCAGGAAAGTGTGCCATGCTAATGCTACATACAGCTTATGTGACCACAGGCAAGTGTCTCCCTGGTTAATGTTGCAAAAGGACTAATCACTCAAGCAAAAGGAAATAAAATCAACAGAGCAAATAGCACTAGCAATGCAGTTGATAATGAATGGGTCATTGCCTACCCTCAGAGTTATTCACACACCTAAGACAAATCCACAGGAGAAATGGGAGCCAAACAGAACCCAAGAATAATCTATCTAGTCCCATGATAACATTTTGTAGACTAAGAAAATGAAAGCAAGAGACTGAAACTGACTGGAGGCCAACTAAACTAGGAGATGCCAACAGCATCTCCGGGGACGCTGCTCTGTCCTCCTGCCACAGGGGAGCACATCCCCAGCATGAACATCAAGACTCACAACCCTTTTAAAGGGGGCCAGGACCCTGGCGTGTCCCACACGTGTGTATGTCAGAAAACTAGGGGACCCAACATGTCTTACATTTCCCACTGTCCACCCCCCAGTTGAAACTGAAGGGGGGGTGCCTCAGAGGTGAAGCAGGGACTTGTGAGCCTAAGACTTGGGGAGACATGGTTCTCCCGATGGACACACTGTCCCGCCTGCCCTCTCTTCTGTGGTCCTGTTTCCAGACAAACCCTGTCCTCGAAATTGAGAATTGATTTTGTGAGGTCAACACTAGACATGAGAAAGGTCATAGCACCTTCCAGAGGCGGTTCCCCAAGGACAGCTTGAGAACAGCTACTCACACGAGCAAGGCATGAATAACATCTCCCTTTACCTCATCACTTAAGGTGGGCACACAGGAAGGCTTCTGTCAAGATGTGGCAAAAGATAACCAGCGATGACAAATTCAACTATTTGTACCTATTCCAGCAACTTATGGAACTAACGCAGGAGATTAACAGTTACCCCAGAGCTTCTTAACAGTTACCCCAGAGTTTTCACAAGTTAAAGGGACTCCAGTTCTCATTACGGATTGAGAAGAAAGTCACTGGAAGTGGAAATAACTCCAGAGCTTTTAAAGCTTTCAGCACTCAGAAAGGAGGCTGAGAGACAGAATGCTGGCTGTGTGCAGGACAGGGCCTTGCTCACCTGGAGACAGGCCCTCTCTCTGTGTCTGAGTCTTAGGGTAGCTCCTGAGATAGAAAGGTGAGAAATATGAAGCTGCAGAGCACTGCTGACAGGGAATAACATAAAGCTCACTGATTGCACATAAATACCTACCTATAGGTACCAATAATACAAGAGTAAGACTCAATTTCCTGGAGTCAGAAGCACTGGGCACTATGAAAAATTTCACTGGAATTGATGTTTTCTTTAAAAAAAAAAATCCTTCACATTCATTATCTAAAGTACCTATGAGGTATTAAAGCTGTGAGATTAGACCAATTAAGAGTAGACCACTTCCTAATAGTCTATCACATTAATTCCTAATACAAATGTTATTTTTTACATGAAAACATATGGAAACCTTTCCAAAGCATAAACCCTTTATATATCTGACAGTCCTAGATGTCAGCGTGGGAGGGGAAACTTCTGCCTAAACCATGACTATCTTAGACTCTTAGTTTCTGACACAAACTCTTTTACGGTACAGTTATTTTCTGAGCCAGCAGGTGGCTCCAATCTCATACGCATCTTTCCTAGGTAGTTTTGGTGTTATACAAACAGAAATTTAAATAAGGCAAGCATTTGGTTCCTGTATGAACACACTACTCTTTTCAAGCTGGACTGTTATTTTTAAATATTGCATCTTGTCAGTCTCTTAATACTACAGGGTGGAAGGAAAGACCTGCACTGATGTCACAAGCCTCAGTATGTCTCAGTGTCAGGGTCTTCTGATTTTGTGCTAACCTAAAAAGAACCTTGTATAGATAAGAAGCCAGATTCCCCACCCTACCTCCTCCAAACCAAATCTACATGAAAGGAAATACAAGAACTGAGTAATTTAGAATAATTAGTTTACAAATGCTGGTTCAGTGTGTTAAATGGACCAGTATTCCCCATTAAGTCTCTCCCATACTATAAATTAAAACTAGAAAAATATGCATGTAATTATAAATCCATTAGAGAGGCCCAATCAACTACTCTTTAGGTATCTACTATGTGTCTACTGCTTCAGTAAATATTGTTTACACACACACACACACACACGCGTGCGCGCGCACACACACACACACACACACACAGGAATACTACTCAGCTATAAAAAAGATAAACTTGTCATTCCTGACCACGCGGATGGAATTGGAGAGGATAATGCTAAGCAAAATAAGTCAGAAGGAGAAAGACAAATACGAGCTGGTGTCACTTTTATGTGGAATATAAAGAGACACAACAAAGGGTCAGACAAGACCAAATCAATAATAACCCCTTGACATCTGACTGAAAATGGAGGCATCCAGAAAGGAGGGTGGCAGCAGAGGAGGGGGGCCCAATGGTACACTGGTGGTGGCATGGTGTGAAAAGCGACATTTGTAGAGATTTGAACCTACAACCCTCAGAGCCGATGCAGCAATGTATACCTACTTTTCCAGTAACATTATTGAGATGGTAAAAAAGCAAATCAGTGTTCAACATATTTTTTAAAAGAACATGAAAAACACAGATACGTGATGCATCTGTGAGTTGCAGAATCACATGGGCAGTATGACCACATTTCTATCAAATATAAAAACAGGCTAATTACCTATTTGTATAGTTTAGTGATACTTTTGTCAAATATAAAGAAATGTAAAAATAAAAAATTTCAGACTTAACCATGAAGAAAGGGTCACTGGAATCTTCAGTTGTATCAAAGATATTTCTTAAGATTAGGTGGCAGATATGTATGTATTATTTTTTATACTTCTGTACATCTTTAGCATTTCATACTATTTTAATCACCTAGCATGCATTATACCAAGAAGTGGGGAGTGTTAAACTCGTTCTTGTACCCTGAGTACTGACATGCATTAAACATTTGGTAGGTCATTAAACTGAATCCTTTCTGTATCTCCCACCAAGCTGGAAATCTACAGTGACAGGAAATTTATAACTA